AATAAAAAAGAAAATACACATGTACTCGACGAGATAACCCAGTAAAACTTGCTGGAAAATCAGATCGTTTGAAGATACTTCATTCGAAATCTTACAGTAAAATGAATGCTTTCCAAATTTACAAAGTCCCGTCATATCCGAATAAATAAAATTCAAAATTTTGTTTCAATTTCAATTAGAACTGCTGCGGTCAAATATTGCAGCACTTATAATTTAGTGCAGCCCCAATACTGCAATGCGATAACAACAACAACTTTTAAACCCATTTCCCCCCTAATCAAATAGCTAAATTATGCAAATAGTCTATGAATGTGATGATGTGTAGGTCGGTCCAAGTTTGAGGGTTTTGGATTTTTTGAGAGATCACGATCAACCACGACTGAAAGCAGAACGGCTTCTACTTTGGATGTGCAAAGCTGACTCGCAATGAGTTGAAAAGCTTTGGAATCCAATTTATTTGGGTCTCAAGGTAATGAGAAATAATCCGTCCTTAAGACAATGCGTCCTTCAAAGGCGGATGAAATTATTGTCTCAAGGCTATGCAAATAAATAATATATCATTTTTTCATTTATTGACTGAATTTGGTACAGTAAAAAGCTGATCAAAGAAACAAGACAGGGTTTTTTAAATGTTAGAATGACTAATTACACAATCCTCATAAATCAAGACGCGTGTTTGTCTTTGATTTGCGTATGGTCGCAAGTCTGGTATTTCGACGTACATTGTTTATAGCGGATTCCATAGGCCAGTTCTTGATCATCGTATCCAAAAATAGGAATTTACTCATTTGCCTAACGATACGATACAGAGTGGCCATAAAGTCCCTTAACAATTTCAATTTTATACATCTGTGAAGGCCAAAACAATATATAGTATCAATAAATTCCCTTTGCAATTTTAAATTTTTAACTCAATGAACACCCTATATATTATAAAGTTTAATTTCAATTTCTCCGATTTATACTTATTGACTTATACAATTGGGAAAAAAGAATAAATATCATTAAACTTATCTATCATTAAATATATATACCGGTATGGTATATATAGCCACTAACATAGATAGGCTTACGAAAATACTACAACTAAATATCATCTGATTGTGATTTTTGTACAAATGTTGTTTTAACTTGCGCAATGTTAATATGAAAAATATTGTGAAAGGGCATTGGCTTAATTCAATAGATAATATGTGGAAAACCTTTGAAGCATTTAATTGCTGAATGTATAAAAAGACGTCGTTCGATGTCACTTTGCTTTTAGCCTCATAAAACCATTCAAAACGTCGTGTCGATACTCGTTTTGAAAAATAGCGTATTTGTCTATAGATACTGTGTTTCATAGACTGCCAGTCGGGGCACGGCTCCAAGCCAATAAAACGTATACAAACAAAATTACTGATACTTCCCCGATCACAATTAAACCCTTTAACCTATAAAGTGGCAATATCGTATGTCTGTATGAAGGCGACTTTATAAAAACGGGTTATTTTGCCACGAAGCATTTTGGACAATAAACTATAAAATCTCGATATTGGATTCAAATAATTCAACCATTTCAAACTGAATTTTGTTAGAATTGTGAGCATCAGTAAGTAAAACTTACAACGAAAAGAATACCGATGTTTGAAGGTAACGGATTATTTGCGGGACTACCTATTTTTATTTATTAAAGGGTAGTTTGATTAGTAAGTATTTTGTGCTATTGTTTCCATCTATCTGTAGATGGAGTAAACAACAACGACTAGAATGGCTATTTCAAAATGAAAGTGTCAAAATGATAGGTAGTTTCAAGTTGTGGAACGTTAAATTGTTAGCTCCACACCCTGGACTGCCTTTTTATTTTACATTTACTCACAGCACAACTAACGTCTCACAGACCTTCTCTCCGTACGGAAGAAACTTTGTGGATTCGATTTTACCCTGTCTTGTAAGACTTGCTTATATTGTGCAATGCGAGTCTCACAGAAGCAGGGTGTGATTGAGTTTTCGCCTCACAGCAAAATAGACAGGGATGATCAATTATGAAAATGTTAATTAATCAATATATATACTACCGAATACTAGTCATGGATAGAACGGCCCGCGAAGGAGCATTTGGTTGGCTACTGGAATGCATAATGCAGATATCAGTCCCACAGTTTTCAATTGCATAATTATGACTTCAATATTTTACTATCATTCAAGTACCCGATGTGAAAATGAACACTTGAACTTCTGTTCGTGTATAATTTTAACCAAAAGTTGCAAAAGTAATCATCTCACTACCAAAATATTAATCAATACAGATTATCAAAGTATTCTATTCACAGGGAATCCCGATACAAAATTACCTTTTTTTTTTTTTTTCTTTTAAAATTTGTAACAAATGATATTATTTTACAATGGAATTGAAATACATTACACCAGTGGTTCCAAATTTTTTAGAGTTGCGACCCACTATTTATTACCACAGCTTATGGCGACCCATTTAACTTTTTATGACATAACACAGCAATGGCTAATCATCGTAAAACTACCGTGTTTCCTCGAAATTAATACCTGGTCTCAAAATAAGACCTAATTAGAATTTAAAAATGATTTTAATTAAACCCTCCCCCTAAAACAGGAGAGCTAAGTTCAAATATATGGACACGTCACAAGGCGTCACTATTTTTTATTCTGACACATAAAAAACGAATCTCTTGAAGTCCAATGTCAAAGCAATTGGTCCAGTATTCGAAGATAAAAGCGATTTTTTAATGATAATAACGAAGAATAATAACAATAACAACAACCTAACATTGAAACGATCGTTATGTACACTGACGTATCCAATAAATTTATAATGTGTGGGAGAGGAAAGGTTCAATGACCTGAGGTATGGTGAAAATCACACCACTATTCTAGATTGTGTGATGTCACAATCATAATGATGATATTTGTCACTTGATTTTTGTATAGGAAATAGAAATAAAAACAATGGATGTAGGTTTTGATATAAAGTTTATTAAAAAATCTCCCACCAGTGGGTCGCGACCCATAGTTTGGGAACCGCTGCATTACACCGATATAAAAAAAATTGGAAGTTTTATTGTGTTATTTTTACCAAAAGATATCCTAGTTTGAGTGATAAGCCTCATCAACGTAACAGATAACAAAAAATTAGATCTGGCTAGCGCTTCCAATTAAAGATAACAAAGAAAACGCTTGGCAACATTGCACCAATGATTATCATGCTCACCAAAGTTCCATAGTAGTCACAAGCAATCTGAATCTACAATGAAATACAAGTTAAAACGTTAATATTTCCACAATAAAATGTCAAACCAGACCACCGTACGTTTCATCGATTCGCAAAGTCGGAGGCAATGTTAATTTTCTATATGTGAGGTTTAAATTAATAATAAATCACGAATTGGTCAAAGAATGTGATCACTCAATGCCAATACCTCAAACTTAAGGAGTAATCTTCTCTCGCAGTCAAGTTCAATTTCGTTTGGCGAGCTTGGCTAAACGGGTTCTTTTGAAGCGAAGCAAACCCAGACGCCGAGGAGGGAAGCGGGTTGCTGAAACAGGCGGCACCATGCCCGATATGCCAAGAAGATGATAAACATTCAAAAATTCTGTTGATGAATACGTTTACCACATCTGGACTCGAATTGTGTAAATTTATTTCTCGCACAAATGATAGCGTAGGAAATGAAACAATTTAGTTACACAAAAACAATGTTACTACAGATATTACTCAGAGATACCGAATCAAAACAAACATTTAATCAACAGGTGAGAATATGTATCAATATGTCCTTCGGCAGCAAAAGTGTGAAATGAAATACACAGAATCTTGTATATACAAATAAATTTCCCTAATAGGTTAGAGATAAATATCATAACTTTGTTTAAGTGTCACGCGAAAATAACGCAGCAGTCTTAAACATGTCACACAACTATGACTTAGGCAAGCAAGGCCTAAGCTTGTACATATATCCCGTCTCAATTGTATAGTTTATTTATTACGAAGATGCTGCTGCATTTTGAGGCAAATACTATATATATACACACATAAGCAACAGAATACGACACACATTGAAAAAATTATCTTACTTCTTCAACATAGAAATGGTATAGGTTAGACAGAAAGCGACTATTTTCTACTACACATATTTCTAACATATTATTCAATCGTGTATTCCAGGAATTGGGCATAAATACTGAAGCGATAAGACAGACGTATCACTACATAAAAGATTGAAATCACGTGTTATAAATTTCTCTTGCTTGTGTATTTGAAAAGTGTTTGGAATACGTTTTCTACTACGTAGGTCGTATAGCTGATATTCAAATAGTACAAATGTCGCTATGTTCGACTTGAAACACACAAAATATATATTGTTCGTCCATTTTGTTTGCTCCGCTTGTTGAACACAATAGAAATGTAAGTACAAATATACGACAACCGTCGTGGAATACGGCTATTACTATTTTATTGCCCCAATCCCACGAACGTTGCATGTTTGAAATCCCGCCTCTCCTAACAACTAGAACAATTAAGCAAAACAATTAGATCTAGTAATGTTTGATCTTTGCGACACCCACTATTTCGCCGTCACATTGCTTGCCCCGTCGCAATATCGAGGCCCTATTGTCTTCGAAATTTAATTGTCACTAAAATTATCGTTTCGATTTTTAATTGCCCCTTGTTTGACACCGCCAAAGATCAAAGTGTTATCGTCAACAAGTTGCAATACTGTGTTGCATACGAATATATTGTTATTGTAATGTCGCGTGTTTTATGTCCATACAATAACATTAGTATGTTATTGAACTCGATATCTAGCTAGATATCTTAAAGCTATTTGAACAAAAAGCACGGAGCACTGCTGCATTTCAAACATTATCCCTTATACCTTATATCAGCTCAACTCACTTATTGATAATATCTATCTATATCAAGTCTAGAATGTGACACGAAACTTAATCAACCCGAAAAGAAAAGAAATCTACCAGTTTTTATATGTGTTTTTTTTTTTTGAAAATATTCATAGTTTTGAAGATGTAAAACAAAAAAGGCAATAAATACGTGATAAAAATAAGTATGTATAATAGTAGTATAACGAAAGGCCATGGAAATTGCTGAGAAATATGAATAGAAAAAAAATATTACAGAAATGAATTAATTTCAATACAAATAGTTTGGCACAAATCATAAACTATAAATGGTTATACATTCTGCTTTCATTCTGTGTTAAAATAACACATAGTTAACAAAAAATTACAACCATTATAGAGTAAAGTAGCAATTGAGGTTGAAAATAGACGTTATTATCAAAAGCAGTTCAAATTTTCTGATCAGATTCTTGGCCAAGTATCGCAATCGTTCCGTGTGATTCAATATCAGCCCCGATGACAGTTCTTTTTAACGGCGCGGTACGATCCAAAGATACAAAACCACACAGGCGTTTCTGTGCTGCATTTTGCTTTCGTATGATTTGCAGATAAGAGGGGAATTCATTCTGCATCATCTTCACTGTTATCACTGCTTCTCTTTTGCGCATTCTTTTCCCGCAAGTTCATTCTCTTCTTTTTCATTCTTCGATTTTGGAACCATATTTTTACTTGTCTGTCGTTCAAGAAAACACGCTTTGCGATTTGTAACCTAAAAGAAAAACAAGATATTCATCAAATATATATTATAATGAAGTAGACTTATAAAAAATGCCAAAGGAAAGTGATTTAAAAATGTTGAGATAATCTAACACCGTAATATTATTTCCAATTTTCTTGACCCATATATAAGAATGCTCGGGTTGATATCTATAACTGTCAAATGTAAAGATTTGAATACACATAATGGATGAAAAGTACGTATTGTGAAAACGATATAACATGATTAAGAAAAATGTATGATAATAACACGTACCTTAATTCTCGACTGATAAATTCGTTTGCCAAAAATTCCTTTTCGAGCTCTTGGAGTTGAAATTTTGTGTACGGCTTTCTCCTTTTGCGAGAATTCAAATGGTGTGGATGATGGTATGGAGATATAGTACCGTACGGCATAGAATGGGGATACGATGGCGTATGCCCGAAAGTAATCATATCTGGAGTGGCTGTTAAAATGACATGATGTTAGATGATATTTTAGGAATATCATATATTTAGAAAAATATGTAAGTTACAAATTTTCAAAATACACTCCGTAAAGTATAGAATCTGACTCACCTGCCACTGTTGGAAACCCACTGTAATCAACTGCAAGGCGAGGCTGATGGGCGTGAGGAAGGGATGGCTTTGGCTGAAGTGAGGGGTGAAATGCTGTCCCTGGGTAAGTGTACGGAAAACGTTGGGAATAATGAGAAGTGCTTGCATATCCGGATGAATGGACATCAAATGTTCCTGGATAATGCTGGCTCATGTCAAATGTATTATATCCATTCGTGTGCGTTGGCTTCAAGTAAGATGAGTCGCTAGAATGATGACCTGAAATTTCACAAAACTAAAATTTACAAAGATAAAAGAATAAAAAATTACATTATAGAAAGAATCCAGAATTATAAATACCTATTGTTTGATTATCATAGTATGATTCAGGCGAAATTCTTGATCCGATCTGTTCTGAAAAATGAGGTTGATGATCGATCAGCTTTTCTGGAGATTTTGTAATTTGTTCTGACGGCTGAACACAATTTCTCTGGCTCTGGTCAACCGAAGGTTTCATTGCATAATATTCGTGTCCGTGTCCGGTGTTGCTTTCTAGATAACTGGGGATTTGGCGTATGCTAGCTATCAGCTGTCCATCGTCTTTAGATACCTGTACTGTTGTTCCATTCAAACCTCCCATCGCATAAGCGGAACTTTCTGAAGGGGCAGAAGTTGTATCCGTGTTGGAGGGAGAGCTCGCCGTATGTTCAGGCAGGGCGAATGGATATGAAGTACCGGCGTCAGATGAAATTGCTGTGTACGTCCTGTTTCTGTCGACTTTCATAGCATTGTAACTTGGGCTTTTGATTCGATTTTCAGAACTAGGATAGTCGTTTACTCGACTATCGGATTTAACACTGTCCGTATGACATACATACTGATCCTGTGCCGAAACGTGGTGATAAGCTTGGTATGTAGAATCTGACGGTATCCCTGAAGGTTCCGACTGGTTTGCATCGCTTTCGATTGAATGGTTAGCATAGTGTTTATCTGGAGAATACTCTGTTGGTACGGAATCCGCAGTTTCATTTTGAACGTAAGCGTATTTCGGGCCATTGCTTTCATGACCATCGCACTGTGATTCAGTTCTTTCTCGAATTTTATGTAACTCCTTTCCATTAATTTCTTCTGACGTTGGATATAGATTGGCTGTCATCTCGTTATGTACTTCATTCGAATAAGGTAGAGAGCATCCAACTTCACCATGCAGTCCTTTTTGTAGACTACCATATTCATTTTCAATATGTGCTGTACCATGCTTCCACGGCTCGTGTACGTATGGTGCTCTCGATACCTGAGTCGGGTAGTATAACGGTTCATACCCGGTACCGTAGCCCATAAAAGCTGACATACTCAAAAATCACTCGTTGGTTTCTATTTTGTTTGCTGAAATTTTAGGCGAGCAGTAAACGATACAATTGCGCTATATTGCTTTATTCTTTCTGATATAACAACTAGTAAAATTGAGAAAAGGTTAAGATAAATTTGGTCCGTGTAAAAGCAGTAAAAATTTTACTTCCAATAAAATTCATTTCATCGCCTGCAACTGTGAAATTAAAAAGTAGAAATCTTGTGTCTTTCAAAACATTTACAATCACATTAATTTTTTAACGTTTATTGTCGCGGTTCGTGGTACATCAACACATCAATTTATTCCTTGTAAATATTAACTGTATACCTTTCACATTTAATGTTCATGTACAATATACCACAAATATAAGTGTTTATAAACAAATAGATTTTTATTCTTCTACTCTAGAGAAGAAATTGACATCCTCACTTCAACGCGACTTTTGTCAACTGACAAACAAACAAAATGGACATTCGATGATGACGCATCGACATACTGGTTCGCATTGTTTCAGCGCAACTTTTTCTCCTCTCGTTAACTAACAATAATTAACCAAGATAAAAGAGAAGCGATCTCAATAGGCGATGCACCAGATTTCTGGGGATTGGAAAAGACATGAAACGGGTTGCTTTCGATTTGCAGCGAAAGTCAATCGGCACCGCGACGCACACACTACATTCAAATACGTAGGTAGCAATTACCTATGCCATTGAACAATGGGTCTGTTTCATTTCATCTCGTCACGGACCATAGTGGCGGATGGGACTAAAAATTGTTACAAACAATAAAGTAACGCAGGCTAGACATACAGCTTTCTACTTCCGTTGAATGCAATTACTAGAAATCCATTGAAAACAGAAGTGAAAATCGAAACGTATTTCTGAATCTATTTATGCAAGCACAATTGTAATTCATAATTGGGAGATTTTTTCAGAATGTCATTCTCAATTTCATTTAATCTAGAATTCTATTTGACAGAAAGTGTCATGCATTTTTTCATAATGAATCATGCAATTATTTTTTTCATCGCTCTGTAATTTTATTACAATATATATGTATTCCCCATTTAACAAGATATACAATTATAAGCATCAAAAATAGCAGACAATATTTACAACTATTTATAATTTTACAAGAGTGAAATCCGAAAGCACAAAACTAATCCCTGCTCTTATAAAAACTTTTACGAGACTTTTGAATTGTCACAGGAAACGAAGGATTTTAACGGCGTAATAATAACACTTTTACGTTCTAATATTCAATTGCAACTTTTGCGTTCCAAAGATACGACGAAAGTCTTTTAATTCGATTATGTTTACCACGCAGTCAGATATTCGAACAATGAGTCTGCAGGTAGAACACAATTAGCCGATATAATCCTAAATATCCGCTTTCGCTTTCTGTCTTGGGCCGCCATTTTATCACGATGCCCCTTATCGTCCCCTTGTTCATTTCGACTATGCAGACTGGCCCCGCTTTGCTAACTAATGAAAATATAATAGTAAGTCCTATTTGGTATAGTCAGTAGTCATAACATATATTTGCATATTTTCGCAAAATAGAAGCTCAATCTTAGACTTGCATGTCTTTCCACAGATACGTATCTCTCACTCCATTCGGACCCAAACTATATTTCCACTGCAATAGAACATATATATTATGAAATATGTGGGTGAAATTACCCAAACTGCGACGAAATATTACTTCCATCTCGCTTGTTACAAAATCGCTGAAATCTTCAATCAAACAAATGGTTGATCAAAAACAGATCAATGAAATTCGCCGCCATAAGCCTTGTTGGATATCATGCGACCCAACAACGCCTCAGCTTGCGCCCGCGGAAGTTCAAATCAATTTGATCCATTGTAAAATGCAACAATTATTGCATGGGGAAAAATCAAACCCAAACATATTAGATCAAAACACCATGGCGCCGCAATATGTAATACGTTTACAGAATTTTCATTCAAAATCTGATTTTATCTATATACTGGATTTTACGTACCGCTCCAGCTTTACACAGACTATAATAAATTTATTGCGCTAGGCCTAACATAGTGGTGGAAAGGCAAGAGTGGATAACAGAGACATACATACACAAAATATCAAGTAGGTAAGTCGTCAGAATTAAGCAGATAATTACGCCGATTTTAATTTACCTCAAGATTTTGCTTGAATGAATATTACAGCCACCACGTACAGCTTCGCCCGCCACTTTAACGACATGTACAATTCTAAATTAAACTTTACTTTCTGGGCATATCAGTCCAGTCCTATTCTTTTGGTTTTGCCTAAGATCTGGTTACAGAAATGAAAAAAATTCAAAAATGTAACATCTCCTATACTCGATTTCATTGAGGTAGATAAAACAAAGTAACAAGCAAAAATAAGGTTACCCTGTCGTAGTAGGATTTTTTCCAACTCGACCCCAATTGACATAAGAACTTTCGTCATCAATGAAAAGATGACGCGATATGTTTGACATTTGTAATTTTCCCTTCCTAAATGGCATATATAAATTAATCAGTTTTGTCGTGTACATTTTCTGAATACCTAGCTTGGAATGTGCAAACCGTAATTCCATCCGTAATATTTATTGAATTACCATAAAACTCCAGGATATGCTCATATTAATAACGTCACAATTGCTCACGCTGTAATGTCAATCATCTAAGAAGAAATGTTAAAGTAAAAAGAAAAGTTAACTATACATTGAGTTATATTTTACACTGAATACCTCTCTGTGTCCAATAACCTGAAACTAATCAAATACGATGCTCACGGGCCACAACCGAGATTGCATTGTACGATATCAGTGTCAGAAATTACTGCTTCTTCGACAGCCATAAATCGGTTTCATTTGACAACAGAACACAGCATACCAGTTATGGTGAACAAACGTACAACGAAGAGACTGATAACTGCATTGCAAATATTGACTAATTATTATTATGGTGATGACAGAAGAAAATTAAAACAGAAAATAGTGGGGAATGGCATTCCGGTCAGATAACCACATTTTGAGGCTTGCTTTTCAGAACATTGCGCAGTCACGAAAACTTTATTATATCCGATAAACTGGGAAATGGTTAAAAGCTGCCTAATTAAATATCAGACAATGTGTGTTACGTGAAGCAACGACTACAAGAGAATTATTGATAGAATTACAGTGATTGTTGATGAAGCAGTAAATTTTTTGACTGGGCTAGAAGCTGTCACGATATTCGAAAATGCTAAGCAAACATCGGAGTCAACTAAACGAGGAAGTCTTGTCGCAGTACAACCTTTTTGGACGGATGATAATAAATCATATGTGCTACTTTAAAAGGCTTGACAATTCTGTGAAATATAATTAAAATACATCTGTATAAATTCCAAATCACTTTCTGCCCCAACAATAAAATAAAATGTAAGGGTGAATATCCATTATTGGATTTTCCGTACTATAAGGATCTTTGAAAATGTGAATATAATATTTTGTACGGGCAATGTTCCTACTATATAAGAAATAGCCGTGGTGTATTTTGATAATTGATTACGTATATATATTTTTTTTTTGTAAAATTTATAATAGATGAACATTTTTGTCTCTGTTAGTATGTCATAGCTATTACAATTGAAAATTGGTTGCGCGGAGAGCAAATCAACAGTCGTCATAACCAAACGGTCGAAAACATATTTTGTCGAATTCCCTCTTGGAGAAAACAATTACAAATATGTTTGCATGAACATTCATTCTATAGCAATGGTTTCATGGATTCCAACACGCAAACGAAATATAACAAAGAGGGATAAATATATGTGAAAGGCTCCGTAAACACTGCTTCAAAAGTAACGTTACCAATCTAAGTCGTAACATGTATTGGGAACCAATAAACACCCGAAACGGCCTTTTTACGATCTCCTGGATGGAATTATTGCATTTTTATTCCCATTGAGAGTATACTCCCCATTGTGATTATTATTGTGTTTTAGTGCCTGGCAGAGTTCAAAAGAATTGATATAGGTGAGACGGCGAAAAACGGGCGGATATGAAGGAGGGTAATAAACTGAACGGGCATAGAAAAATTTTGCCATCGACTTACTTTCATCTACCGACAACGGCAGCTCCACTCGCAGCCAAGTACAGAAAGAGAGAAACAAAATGGACGTCACGGCTAGGAATCATGTATTCGGAATTCAATCACAAAATTTGTTTTATTCATTGACACGATACATGATACAAACAGCAGATCATAAATGTGAACGCCAAAAGGACGATCGAGCATAAGAGTTAGCATGAGCGAGATGAAAGTGTGAAAATCTTGAATTTACTTAAAAAAATTTTATCTATAAAACACAGATTCAATGCGTAAAAATAATACAAAGAAAAGGTCAGAAAGAACATTATTTCCATGCAGAAGAGTCATGCTGTGCTTCAGGACAATTAGATGAAATGGGCGCCAAGACTATGTCTGCCACCATTCTATCATGTAGTTTGTGTGTAATTAATCATGTTTGCAATTTGCGAGATCAATTGGTTTTACTTGGAACTCCATTGTTCCATCGTGCTCCATTTTACGCTCGTCTTTGTTAATTAAACACAATATTGCATAAAATTAACTTTTGTATCAGAAATTAACAGAATGACCGTAACTTGTACCAATAAATTTGTTTAACTGATTTATTATTTATTTATATTTATTTGCAATATAATTTTTATGTGTAGTATACTGCTTATAGGTGGCCAATGTATTTCATTTAATAACATATTTAATTTTGATGACATAGAAAGCCGGACTGTTAAATGTTTATACGGGAAAATAAATATCGCCGCGTGATCGCCAGACCAGAAACGTATGCCTGTCGCGCGCCATTATAATACAGCCGATCCAGAACTAAAACGTTTCAATTTTACCTATTCTATATTTTGTTTCTTAATATGGCGAAAATTAATTGTTTAGTACACAGAACGATGTTTAGGTAGCTTTCACGGATGACGGAATACGGGGTTATAGTTACCCTGACAACCTCGCAAATAGAGGCTAATTTTTAAGAAAACAATCATTAACACAACTCCAAGCACATTTAGCACTGGGAAAACAAAAATCAGTCTCTGAGTATTTGATCCAATTAAATACTTTTGCAGTGCACAAATAGTTCAAATGGATTAGAGCGTATTGGTTGTGGTTTGAAATATCTCATTACAGCAAAGTATGAAAACGCGGGTTTTTATGCCAAAATATGTTGGGTCAAATTATCCTTTTCCGAGAAGTACGGTCACCGCATCTTGTCCACGCTACTTTTTACTGAAGCGTTTGTGTCGGGCCACCCGGAACGTCAAGAATCAATGAATAGCCTCTTGCTGAAATAATTGCGTCAACCACAACTAATTCAATCGCGAAATACCACGCGAATTCATTCAACCAATAGACCAATTACGTCCGTGATTGATGGTTTGAAAATGACAAAACGAAGGCAAATGAAAAATCCCAGATTTCCATTTTATTTACTATTTCTTTCCGTTCAGTACTTCACAAGAAAATAATTTTTGAAACACTTTATATAATCATCCCTGAGGTCGCATATAAGAAGAGACATTATGTTTTCTTTTACAGTCATTTCATACGTCGGATGTTTCATATCCATTGTTTACCGGTGAGCGCTAATGGTTTGCGTACGGATTATGAAAATATCTTTCTCAACACTTGCTCGTTTCTTACTCGTGACAGCAAATCCATTTAGGGTGCATCATGGTGGAAACTAGGCGCCGGAGTTCTCTAAAGACTACAGACAAAGTCATCCATATGCCAAATGAGAGATTGTATAGTATTTTTAAATGTAAGAAGATGTATTGAATATACAAAATAACATGCTATAATTTTAATTAAGTGAGTTAGAAAAATCACCGTAAGAGGTTTTCAGAATGTGAGAAATGGGTGTATATCTTGGTCTATTGATTGTGAATAGTTCATATACAAAACATAAAAAACATCCAAAAATGACTCAGGTACTATCTTGTAGTTAATCAACCACTGATTTTCTGATCTGTTTTCTTTGATTCTGTTCACTTTTGGTCAGGTTAGCAAAAGTATTGAACAGCATAAGATAAACAGAGCGCTGCCGGGAAATAAGAAAACGTACCCTAAACCTAATCAGAATGAAAAAATGCGGCGGGGCGATATCAGGATAGTATCTAAATTTATTTAAACCAGAAAGCGCAGCGCCCAATTTTTGACTTGGAATACTAAAGAGCTATATAAACTTGTCGTATCTATAAACGGAAGCAATAAAACTCGTTATTTTGTTTTCTGCAGTGAGTTGTAAAATAGTTATTTATTTACAATCATGAATGTTATGGAAGCAGCGGGAATGGCAACAACATCGTGTAATCCACCGGGAGGTTACCTATTGTCTCATCCTAGTCAGTTATTTTACCACCAAGCGCAGAATATGGCACCAAATCACTTGATACCATTTCCATCAGGAGGTCAAGCTTCTCCAATGTCTGGGTCATCGGCATCTCAAAACGCTCTTTATGGTCAAGCCATGCATTCTCAATACCATCAACCCGTTTCCTTTCCTGGAGCACACCACCATCATCATCCCGCCGGTGCAGCAGAACAAGCGGCGCAGGCAATGCAGGGTCAATTTGGATTGGGTGAGTTAAAATCCTCATTTATTCAGATAATAGGATATTTTCAATGTCAACTATAAACCTCAAATATGGTATTTTAAATGCCTATATTTATTGCAATATTTGTTACCTGTCTGATCGTGAACGATAGTAAACTTTAAGGGTAGCTAAAGGTAGGAAAATAGAATGCAAATATAGTCAGTAAAATTGTCAAAGCGGAAATTGGATTCTGAAAATTCTGCACCAAATGTTCAATCAATTAAAATTTGAGGTATAAAGAAAACTTTGTATTGTGTTAGTATGAATTTTGACGATTTTGGGTATGCTTGGATTTTTCTTTTTACCATGAATAAAGTCTACTTAACGATGGGCAGATATCCGCAGAAAAATCCACAAATTTCACGTTCCACTTATTCTGACGAATTCATTCTACCAAAATAAGGGGTTTAACATAAACTGACTAATTCACTCTCTAAATCTTGAGGTGTCTTGGAAGCAGTCGACATATCTAAATTCGATCAATTACCATTTTTCATTGGAATGTCAAAGTTTGGCGAATAAACAATTAAATAATACAGAATCTCATGCTAATTCTATGACATGAGTATATTTTATATAATGAATTAAATTTAATCTGATTTAAATATCTTCGACCAAAGTGTTCGGAAGTTTTCGCTCTTGGATATGTTGAACGATAGAATTTCAACATTAGAAAGTCACATTTGTGAAGTATATAATATACAATATGATTCATTATATATACATATTTTTTTTTAAATAATTTCACTCATTTGTTAGTTTGGTAGATAGCAGAAGTTTATACAATTTGCGATCATACTAGTTTTGAGAGTTCAATTTCATATACGCATAGATCGGCTGACTAATGGGGATTTCCTGAATACAGTTGTCATTACTTATGGGAAGTAGAGGGAACTAGGAGAATCCCTGTTAATTAGGCAATTCGACTAAAAAAATTCTTTTCCGGTCAAGACAATATTCTTAAATATGAAAAAAGATTTTAAAATTATGGCTAACTTAATTAAATTATTCGCTTCAAATACGTCAATTGTAAATATGTACCGTATAAAATTAGATAGTTCAATCGTCCTAAAATCGACATTCAATCTTATGTGCTCGTTATCTCATTGTCATTCACTTATTTTATGTGTTTTAGCGCTGTTTTATTGTGTAGATGGTATGTGGTAATATATCAAGCTCAAATCATCTACATACATTCTAAAATGGAATCATGTTTAATGCGTATGCGAACTGTTTGAATTTTTTAAACAACACGAGTAATCCTCATAAAGTTGGACAAGTTAAACCCATTTGAAGCGCGTTTGTACGTATATGAAATATTTTATTATCATTATAAACTTCCTTATCAAATCGAAAATATCTATAACGATTTTGAGTACAATAAAGGGTGTGATGTGGGAATATTAGATTCTGATAGAATTTTCCATACACATTTTATAATTTTATTGTACCGTTGGTGATATCGTTGTTCACTTCAACACAAAGGTTACCATATCACGGTTTTACTCAATCCCCCCAAATAAGAACGATCCAAAGTTTTATGGCGACGATTCAGCGGTCGCTCGCGACTTCTTTTGCAGTAATATATTGTTCGTATATGAGTGCTAGTAAATTTGATTGGAGAAACTTATAAGAAAATTATTAAATTTCATTCCCCAAAATTTTCAGTAAGGACGATATGCTTGCTTAACATACAAATGTTACTTGTCAGGATCTTTCTATAATTCCTGAAGCAAGTTAGTCATCGGCAATGCATTCGGAATTTGTGTCGAACCTGTGGTTTTTTCAAACATACCATATCACGGTTTTAACTCAATCCCACTAAATAAAAACGATCCATATTATCATGTTGTATGTACTATTTTGGAACATACTGAGGCATGGTCTCTGAGACTGTAGTCGCGAGTTATGGTGTTGGCTCGTTTTGAGAACTTTAGTGTGAGAGTTTGCGATGATTTATGTCCAGGCATCAAACAAATCCAATGTTGGAAGTAGGATCATCACCAGTCAAATATAGCAGATAGTATAGAACGGAGTTTGATCATACGCATTTAATATTAAAGAGACCGGGGTATTGCTCAAAGATGGATTTCGCAAATGCTTCGAACTCGTGCGCGTCAAAGATTCATTAGTAGAATATTGCGATATTGACAATCAAAGTTCCAGGCGGCGACTTTGTGAGGATGAAAATGCGGGAGCTGAGTTTGACTTGAACCTTAAAGATATGGCGATTATTTTGTCTAATTCATGAGACTCGCACAAGACAAATTTTCAAGGAGGGATTTTTCAGTTCTATGCATGTCAAGCTACGTAGACTACTAAGCAGGAATGAGCTTTATTATGGGATAACTCAAAACGTAAAACATGATTCAATAAATATTTGTATTCATTGCAGAACGTCCGTGATATGGAAGTTAAGTTATGCGCCGTGTCACATCTTTCGAAAAAGAGTAAAACTATTCACATTATATAAAATTCCAAAAAATATATTTTGAGAATAATGTATGATGAAGAAGCTATAAAGAGAAGCAACATCTCAATTTCAATGTTTAGTTCATGGGTTGAAATGTTGCATCCATTCTAAGTCTTCATTGACCTTCATTGTTAGAAAAATCTATTTTCATAAATCGAATTTTCAAAAGATTCCTGATTAATCGTACCAAATAATTTTTAAAACCAATCATTGAATTGAGAATATGGTTGCATCTCCCCAGTTTGCTTCAAAGTTTCTCTGCATAGCTGACATACAGCTTTTATGTGGGCGAATCGGCGTTCGCTCGCGACTTCTTTTGTTCGTAGATGAATGCTAGTGAATTTGATTGGAGCAACGTACAACAAAATTATTAAATTTGATTCCCGAATCCTAATATTTTCAGTATGGACGAAATGTTACTTGTCAAGATATTTTGTACATTTCTTGAAACAAGTTAGTCATTGGCAACGCATTCGATATTCGTGTCGAACCTGCGGTTTTTTCAAACATACCAATCTTACGATCTTCATTACCAAATAATCTGAATACTCAACACCCACAATGCTTTTCATCGCCATTGCTGATGCAGATATTGCCGATGTTATAATGATTTATCACTCATCGTTGCCAATTATGACCACGACTTTCAAAATACCTTATCCTTCTGGCATTCTCCAGTGATTAATTCGTGTTTTTGATGAATGTCCGATGTTACCTCAATTGTTATGTCAAGGACATCGTTACTCTTTCTTAGTCTGTGATTGTTTAGACCAGTAGTTGTGACCAGTGACCAAAGTTATTAAGAATTTGTCAAGTCTCGCGCCCAGCCTCAAAAATAACTAACTAACAATAACCTACAAATAATAGATAGTAAGGCGAAAGTATGTTTTATTCATAAAACACGTTGAAAATACGTGGATGGAACGTAAATATCCAACATAAGGTGGGCAAGATCAAATCTAACAAATATTTTTATATTTAGTTAGCTTTCAACCCCTCTCAAAATATTGTCTACGTCCTCTTGTGGGGCGCGTCCCGCCGTTTGAGAACCACTGGTTTAGACGTTTGTTCGTCGAATCAAATTGTTGCTTGCGCTGCTAACGAATCTTCAATTATTATTCGAATCTTTAAACCATTTTATCGGTTAATTATCAGTGTTAGATATGCGTATTTAATGCCACCATCTTCGATCAAATTTGAAGAAAGGAGTGAATACCTTCTTCTGAAGTGTTTAAATGGGTGGATTGGGCTCTTTAATTGTTTTAAAAAGAAATACGTATAGCTGACAGAATGCCATAGTTTTATATTTCACCAAAGTGCTCAACATCTCCAGGTAATTTATTTGTAACATCTGGAAGAATCTGTTTTTATGCATATAATTTTCGGGATTTTCTTTAAAATATTTTCACGCATCAAGACTAGAATGATGTAGAAATACCCGCTCTTCTGCATTCAAAGAAAACACAGATGAACTGGTGGGTTTTTGCATCTACAAACTTACATCTAAAAAAAATTGTTGAACAATGTATATAACGTATTCGTGCGCTTACGGCTATACATTTTATCCTCATCGCTAATTTCGACGGGAAATTGCTCTTTTGGAACGATTGTACATCACTGCTGTTTGGCTGTGTAACGTTGTACGGCAAGTATCAAATATTTTTATTATGGAGAGAGTGTCTGTAACACGCTAGTAAAATTATAAAGTAGTAAATTATCCTCCCATAAGTACGAGCAGTTGTGAAAGTTCGGTTGCATTAACTATGATGGGACGTTATATTTTATTTTTAAGTATTTATATTTTGTTCACTTAGTGGATGGGTAATGAATTTTAAACCTAAATTTCAGCCCTTGCAGATCATATCATTCGGCCATTTTAAATATAGTCGTTTCTTATACGTAGGTATTATCTCAAAAAATTTCAAGTTTTGCGCCATAGCAAAATCTGAAAGGTGAATAATTTTCTGATAATTTGACTAAGCCACAATAGTCTGCTATATGAAAAAAATCAACGTCATGGTTCAAAACCATATTAAAATTGTACCTTTCAAATGATTTTCAGATTTACCCAAGTCACAAATACCCATCAAATTAATTTATATTGTATATATTTCAATATTGTTATTGTCTTTCTAAAAAGTGTGAAAGTGACATTACCATGTTTAAGTTTTTTTTTACATTGTTACAAATACAGAAAAAAATGGTGAATTTGTTAACCCCAGTGAATTTCGCACCAGTTAGAAAGCCTTTGAAAAACCAGAGCATCGACGAAGTTCGAGCTAACGCGATGTTATTATTGTGTAATTTTGCCAAAATCGATGTCTTCGAACCCATATTTTGACTAGAAATACAATGTATTTTGCTATATATATTTAGAAATTTTCATAAACATTCTTTGTGATGAACTTACGCGAACTTATGAACTGTACACCTTTTTTCGTATGATACTAGTGCGTATCCTGTTAGACTTATAGATACACTAAAAATTTGCAATGCGTTACTTCCTAGGCTAAAACTATATCGTCCATTTTGTGCGCGCAAAGTCGATATAGAATAATAGCCTATAATACTGAAATAAATACCTTATTTAGAAATGTGCAAACAAAAAGCTCAATTAAAACAGAATTTCAGTTTTATGATTCAATGCCACAGTCGCAGAGTCGTAACATGTCCATTATGCGTAAATTTATGTCTTTGTTGCAATATAGACGTCGAATTTGCGGTAGACTTCAATACAGCTCCCATCGGGTTACACTTTGATAAACTCGTAACGTTTATTGAGCATATTTGCAGCAACAACACGAGAACGACATCCTTAGGTTATTGTAATTTTTGGCTATGGTTACACCAGTCAAATCAAACAAAGGACATATTCGGTGTAGTGATTTGCTCAATCTCTTTTTCCAAGTCGTCATGAGTTTATGTACTGTGTAGGGCGGGAGACTGCTTTAATGTCGTACACTCGGTTCTTCAACACAGGCTATAAAATTTTACTGCCAAATTTTGCCGTAAAATCTATGTAACATGCGTTGCAAGGCGGATACATAATGAAATATGTCGCGAGCGGAACAATGAGTACGCCAATCATCAATGGTGCCGAAGCAAATATCAGAGTATAATTAAGAATCTGACAAAATTATTTTTCAAATGATTAACGGCTCCTATTATTGTATTAATATTTTTCATAGGTTAATAAAATTATCCAGGTTATATAGTCATCGATTTATATACGGTATGATGAATAATACATATTTTTAAGGGAGCTAATTCTTTTTTCAAATATTAATTTATTAGAATAAAAGTCGCCGTAACTGCGTCAATACACCTAGGTATTTGTACTAGTTGCAAGCAATTGCAGCTACGAAGTAGGGTGGGGGATGTTTTTTCCTGTGAGGGCAAAATAAATGCCTTCTTGCTTCTCATGTTACATTTTTCGTCTTCTAAAAAACATGTCTTTTCTTTCTGCATGATTTTATGGGTTTATAGTGCGCCGCAGTTATTTTCAAAAATACACCGTCGCGTGGATGATATTTATAACATACCTCGTAAATTTGTATATCATTAGCAGCCATAAATAACCCACTTTAACATAGGCAATACATCTATAAACGCAAATTTATAAAATATTTTTCTTTTGTACATTAAAAAATGTTGTGCACATTTTCAAACTAGTTCCGCAGTGATAATGAGAACTCATCTAAAATGTCAATAATAGTTTGCTTTGATTAAATACAATCGAGTAAGAGTTTAAGACAAGATGGTAAAGCGTACACTTGTCATTACAACTCTTAGAGATGAAAATATTGTATCACGATTTTGTGAACGTTATCATTTTCTTATCAATCCCTGATGTGGATAATTAAATTAATTTCTTCTAAGCAATAAAGCATTAAAATGTACACAATTTATGTCATCATTTTATCTAGATATTGCTTTTCTATTTTAGGTTATCTTGGACACCCCCTTCAGCACACACCACATCATAGATCACCGGCGTATGGTGTCGCCATTCATACATCACACACTCAGCACCAGATGCACGCAACACACCACGCAAGAAAGAAACGTCAGCCGTACACAAAATCGCAGATTGGTCGCCTCGAAAAAGAATATAAGCAAAATAATTTTATCACAAGACAAAAACGGGAAGAGATTTCTCGAGATTTGAAACTCACCGATCGTCAAGTAAAGATTTGGTTCCAAAACCGTAGAGTGAAAGATAAAAAGTTAAAACAAAGAGAGAGCAGAGAATCCCAGGTGAGAAAAACATGAATTCCATTGCAATCTATTGGTAATAGGTACACATGGTACTTTTTTATTTATTGATACCTTTAACTTAACACATCGACGACCTATATATAATCACATTAACGTTTTTCACGTCCAAATGGCTTCGTCGGATATTATGGTGTAAATGGTAGCACAAAATTAAATTAGGAAAGACGCAAATATTGGGCACCTCCACGCAATTTAGTTTCATTACCAAGCACCCACTTATCACTTCTTATTGAGTTCATACTCAAATTTTGCACAATGTGTGAATGCTATCAAACGATTTGCTTCTTGTCTTCAATTTCTTTATTGCATCAGTCAGTAATCAAATAATAAAACAGTATTTCTCAAAAATAGTTTCATTTTCGACAAAAAAATCAGCTACCTTTTTTATATAAAATAAAACAGCAATACGTTTTTATAAAACTATACAGTTTTACTAATGTGATATATTATTCGTGTAAATCAATAGAGGTTATTATGTTCATCCTAAACATTAGGACTTGTGATATAACCTAATCATGACGTTACTTAACCATGATGCTGGTCACTAACACTAATCGCTGAAAAACCAAGTTGAAATAGTCTATGAAATATATCTGTACATCATAATTTACATAGTTTGCCTGGTGTGTTTGATTTTGATTGACGATTTTTTCAGGGAACCTATGCACCACAGTCTCCACAAATGCAGCCGATCGTCGAACAGCAACAGTATCGCACGATGTCGCCATTGAGAGAAACACACCCAGGAACAATGCACGACCGCCATTTAATGTCTCCCAATAGCACGACATTACTAACACAAATTGCTAAAGACTACTCGATGGTTCCACAACGGATCGCATGATGCAATCAATATAGGTTTAGTGAACATAACAATGAAATATGCTGTTCGTAAACAACTTGTGACAGAGACACATTGAAGATTAATTGATTTTTGATAACGTTCCTTTTTATTCATTGCATTTGAATATCTTTATTTAAATTTTTTTATTATTATTGTTTTTTAAACGTTACGTACCAGTACTAGTAGGTTTAAAATACATGTTATATTGCACTAATTTTATCATGATTCGCATTTGGTGAAGCCTACCCAATTTTCATTTGCATCTAACCGGTAATGGGTTTACTTTGAAAAAACATTTTCTACACTGTCAATAAAACGCGCGTACTATCCACTGGTATTATATAAAAGTATAATTATGTCATAACGCCTAATGTAGAATTAGTGACATTTTCAGAAAATAAAGTCAGAATTAGGAAATATGTCGTTCCTATATAACACAGAATTAATCTTTCGCTAAAATTGTACAAGAAAAAAAATACAATGAAACTGATAACAGCGTCATTTCGTTTGTGTTACATATTTGAAGTCGCGTGTAGATATAAATGATCAATATTCTGCGTGGACCACATTGTGATTTAACTTAGGAATTAAAACAATCACGTCAAAAAGAAACAACGGAACGTGCAAGAGAGCATAAGTAATTGGAAAATATTTTTCGAAGAACTTGATACAATATAAATTCATATATAGTATACATATACAATTTAGTATAAATGTTCTAATAGCAAAATTTGTATTTAATCCAAACACAATTTATCAGAATTATGACAATCTCTTTTTAGATATGCACACGTTCACCAAGCAGGTAATTATTTTGTGAATCCAAATACTATTAAGGTATTTGATTAAAACTTGATACAAAGACAAAAACTCGATGAAAATGCTAATCTTTCTCAAGTGTTTTTAAAACTTCAACACAGATATTGGGGCTTTCACCTCAACAGAATTGAGACTTACTAAAAATAAAAATTCTACTAAGCCTGTTGGAAAATAAATAATTTCTATCATTAGATTCGTAGTTATCAATTCGACAAAATTGCAAAGTTCTTCAAGCAGAAAAGAAATCGTTTTAGTGAAAGTGCAACACCCTGCGTAAACTCAGCAACGCGTGTACTGAAATTAGTTTTATTTTGGCAAAATTGCTTTTTGATAGCTACAGCAAAATAAATTGTTTTATGCCGCATTGCGCAGTTAGAACTTAAAACTTTTTATTTTCATTATTAAATATTTGAAATTATGAATTCATTATCTAGTGCTATCATGCGAAATCGGGCAGAACGCAAATATGATGATGGTAATAAGTTGTGATATTTAAAAATAAATGTACAGATATGAATGAAGGTAAAATATATTGCGACTATCAAAGCGGTTCTGTGAGAAAGCATATGAAACATTAAAGGTCAAATTACATACCACGAAATATTCACGCGATTTGAGCACAAATAAAAATGACTTTCCAATTTGGTTACGAATTGCAATGAAATTTGACACTACATCACTAAATGTAAAATAAAAACTCACTTTTTTTCCTACTTTGGATATAAGAAGTTTGGGGCAAAACATATAGGTCAATTTACCCATTTGCGGCTGGTATTGATGATAACAGTTCTACAAGCCTGTTTGCATATTTATGGCGTTTAGAATACCGATTATGAATTCACGTATAACTATTAAACATGACGCGCGCGATTAGGCTGAGTAAACGCTGGGTTACTTTGAATGGTAGTATATTTAGGTATTTGAAAATAAATAAGAGTGAGACCATATATGCACCCAGACGGATAAAATTGCAGATGGTTTGCAGAAGAAAGGTTAGGTGGGTAAGCACATCGCAATAATACATTTTCTTGAATTCCAGATAGATCCGTGCCAAGTGTCGTTATTAGACAAGATGATTTATGCCGTATGCTATCGCAGTGCCGATTGCAATGTTACAGATATAAAGAGTAAGGTATTAGAGTGTTCACCGACTGTACATAGCTTAGATTATGACGAAAGCATCTTTGTGTTACAGACTCCGTTGTGTCGTTAAAAACCGAAGGAAACCCGGGTCTGCCGTCTAAACCTGTCGCAATGAGAAAAAAACGAATAATCCTGATATAGATTCAATTTAATGTGGGTTAAATAGTGAAATATCACATCATTATATTCGTGAAACTAAACAATTTGAACTGGTTAGGCGTTCTGTAAGTACATCGTTTTTTAATTTTTTCATTGGTTAGGCCTTTGTTCTTTGCTATTTAATAACAACTATATCAAATATCGAAGGTAAGGTCTTAGAATTCAGCGATTTCTTTCAATGTCAGTTAACTTTTATTGAACTTGGTTTTTACTCATTTTTGAGTGAAACGTGGTAATCTATCATTAGGGCGCTTAGTTTTGGATCTGATAATTGATTCTTCAACCTAAAAACGTCATAAGAAAACTTACTCGTTGATATGATTATTAGTTTTCACTTATAAAAAGGGTCGTTTCTTTAAATATCTTATTAATGAACGGTAAAAAGTAAATATCAAATATAAATAATCGACCGCCGTTTTAGTATTATGATTTTCCACTAGAGTTTGCGATATTGCTAGTTTATAATACACGAATGATTGACGAACTTTTTTAATCACGTGGTTTTTTCTTGCGTGTGAATTAAGAAATTCAATTGAGATTTGACATTTGTGTCACTGGTAGAGGAAGCCTATCATATCCTAAGATTATCATGCCTTATCAAGATATAAAGACTAAAGCGTGGAATTTTCCGCCAAAAATTTCGTTTGAAGTGAAATTTTCTGAACGGGAAGTGATTTTCGTCGGCACTCACCAAAGCAAGTATATTATTGCGCGATGTGCTTTTTATATTTAACTTTTTCCAAATCTCGAGTTCTCGACATCGGCACACATCAAAGAGGTCGCCCTAAGGCGAGGCTTACTTCAAAAAGCCCACGGAAGGTCGTTATACAGCGGTCGGCTATGGAGCAATTTTTCTTACTGTAAAATTTGTTTGATAAGATGACATGACATCGATATGAATATTTTCTTTTGACTTTTGACTAATGAATTCGAATGTGAACATAACGAATACGAAAAAAAAGGCCAAGAAGATGGTAGGACTAAACTTGTTACCAGTTTTAAATAACGGGTTCTTTTATTATTTATATAGTATTTGAAATTGGATTAATTTTCTTTTATCTAATACAAACAGTAATCGATTATCATTTTTTTTTTCACTTCTATTGTTTGTTTAATGTAGTAATTGACATTGTCCAGTTTACATATACATAATATAATAAAAATGGCAAAATGACTATTTGGAAATTCGTTTTCGAATGTATACTAATGGAACACAAACATACAAACCAGTGATAAAAATCTCAAAACTGCATACACTTTAAACATGAGTGGCAGTTTCCATCTCTGAACTAATATACTTCTAAAACACATTCATTTCAACATCTCATACCGCATCATTAAACGCATAAGTGTCGAGGTCGAGATTCAAGTACGAATTTTGTTTTACCTACAATTGTATAGATTTTGATTTGATTATTCTAACATTCCATTCGTATATTTGAAAAACAAATTACTGCATGCTTTGGAATCCATAGTGAGTCACATTGATATAAAATCATGACGTCATTTTTCTTCAAAATCTCAGATATAAATTAGCCTGATCTTTTTTGCGATTTCCAAACCACATCATTTTAACATAAAAACAGTCTTTTGCGAAAAATGAACAAATAAAACGGATGTTGTGACCACAAAAGACCGCTGAATTTAGAGACGAGTATCGTTTTTTTTTTAATAAATAAAAAACGTATTTCAAATATTATTTTAGTGTAGTTTTGTAAAATATTACAAGAAAAATTAGTACATTATCTTTTCTAAAAAAACATCGACGTTGAACAGCGGATACTTTATACCTTAGGAACGCTAAAATTAACATGTGCTGTAAATTGATAAGATATTGGCCAAGTTATTACGCAAAATTTTGCTTGGACACATTATATATTTTCCGTGGCGCAGTGCGTGGGAGGAACGCAAAAACTTCAAAGAAAATAAAGTTTATAGACCGCGAATATGCGCACTGGTCTGGTATGGGGAAAAAATTGGGTGCACGTTTTCCATGATTCATTCTTCATTATCGCCGTTAAACCAAAAATAATGTGTTATGACCAAATGCTATAGGTTTGATGTACTACTGTATGAAAGTTTTATTTGGTCACCAAAAAGAATTATGATAGTCAATTGTCGGCTTTTTTCAAGAAAAGTGAACCGTAGTGACTATGAGACATGAACTAACTGTTCCTAACAATCCGTGGTAACGTATGCATGGCGCTTGTACAGAGGAGATATAGCACGAATATTTATATTTCCTGAAAATGTAGAACTAGCAACGAAGGGTTGTATTGTCATTGAAAATGCGAATATAATCAAAAATTGTCTTACCCAATTTTTATTTATAATTTATGTGAATATTCAAAGTTAACGTTTTTATAAGAACGAAGTGTGAATAAGTGGACATAGAGATTATATGAATTTAAATTTTATAACATATATGAAAAAGATCCAATCCGCGATTTCCATCTAATAAATAGTTGAGTTTTTTTTAGGGGGCAAGGTTGAAATAATTTTTTAGCGGGAGGATTCGAAACAATAGGTATTATGTAGCAATAGTTTAGCTATATTAAACTTGTTGAAGAGCAAAGAAATCCTCATGATTGTGAAGTGATTTATGAAGTGGGAAGTGAGTTATTTTATAGGTATATAGGTATATTATAGACGCATATTTTATACCCGTTCATTTTAGATGCATGTAATACCGTTTTGTTTATAAGACCATTTTCTCAGTTTGATTCAACTACACCATTTCCGACCCTTATACACTGTCTGACCTTCTAAGCCGCCCGTTGTTTTTTGTTTCTAATGTATAAAAGATTGTGTACCATATAATATCACCACATAATTTGTTCGGAAAATAACGCGCGCCATCCACGTGGTACACGAATGTTTAATCCCATCAACTTCTTAGCTATAACACACACGAAGACCAAAAGAAGAAATCTATTTACACAGGATGTGTATAATAGGAACTGAATCCTTATAAAACCTTTTAAATATAGGTAAACGCGTTAAAACATAAACGCGTGTATTGTGAAAGTGAAATTTTTTCTTAACGTTTATTTGGCATTAATGATCTCAACAAACCATCAGCGTCTTTAGATTTCAACAAACAATAAAAAAAGGTTTCAAGTTTCATCAAATTGGAAGTTTGCTCCAGGCGCTTCAAATAGTCGGAGTTTATTGCTGTAAACATCAACTTGTCATCAAATATAAATTTAGCATTAAAAAAGTCGCGAAAATGACATATTTTTTCATTTCCCATTTTTCACTTAAAACAATCTATATAACTAAAAATGTGTAGGCGAAAAACATTCAATCGAATAAAATATCAGGGACACCTATTTCTTGAAGAAGAAGATTTTTATTTTCATTTTATCTATATAGAGCGAAATTAGGGAAACACATGAAAAATAAAATATTGATCAGAAAAGAAACAGATGAAGAAGTAGTTTAGCTGTCATCGATATGCGGTAAGAAATTAGAGTGAACCACAATCAATTTTGGGAACTTTTTTTTATTCATTCAAATCGCTTCACAGCGTTGAATTGAGACCTAGTCTGTAGAGATGTTCTTAGTTGTCGATTGAATTTCGATGAGGTAATTATCGCTTCGGTAAAGGCTCTGATGCTTCTTCAAATATTTCAGTTAAAATCGCGCATGATAGCAACAATTATTCAATCTTAATTTAAAAAATAGTTATCAGGAACAATAGACAATATCGCAACAAACATGCATTC